AAGAGGAGGGAGGGAAAGAGGAGGGAGGGAAAGAGGAGGGAGGGAAAGAGGAGGGAGGGAAAGAGGAGGGAGGGAAAGAGGAGGGAGGGAAAGAGGAGGGAGGGAAAGAGGAGGGAGGGAAAGAGGAGGCCGCTGCAGCACACAGTTCTCCTAAATGTACCGCCAGCTGGCGGCTGCCGGTACATTTAGGAGAACTGTGTAAGTACGGATTGTCCGTAACCCGGGGACTGCCTGTACAGAGCTGCAAGCAGTTATATAGACCAAGAATAGGCAACCTTGGCACTCTTCGCCCGCTGCTGAAACTACAAATCCCCTAATGCACTGCAAGACTGACAAGACACAGGCATGACGGAATTTGTAGTTTCGCCACAGCGCCAAGGTTGCCTACCCCATCTGGGTGGTTGGGTGAGGGGGGGGGGAGGGCATGATAGAAAAACAATTCATTACCTCTTCTGATCCAGTTTCACCTTCTCCATCTCTCTATGCAACGAGGTTATCTGCAAATATTAAAACACATGCATTCAAAAAAATGCGTCCATTAAGAACAGGCAGCCATTTGTACAAGCTGCATATGTACCAGAAATATTAACCACCTGCTGTCTGGCCGTTGTAATTAAATGGCCGGACGGCGGCTTCTTGAATGCGGGTGGGCGTTTTTAAACGTCCCATCCCGCCCATGCGCGCCGCCTAGCGGGAAATCAGCCTGGAATGTAAACAGGCGGCGATGGCCGTTTACATACAAGCGTCTGTAGAGACGCCCGATCGCTTGTAATATGCGTGCGGGTGTGCGCCCCCCCTCTCCGTTGCAGCCGCTGCTGGCGATCCCGAGCTCCGCTGTTCCCGGTGTGACACCGTGACCAGCACAGCAGCTCCGCGGCCGGAGATCAAACGAAGTTCAGTACACGAACGCCCTCTGATCTTCTCCTCGTCGGAATGCAGGAAGTGATGTGTATTACATCACTTCCTGCATTCCTCTGTCACTCTCCGGTACAGAAACGGGAGAGAAGCTGGTGAAGCAGGTGTGTGCTTCATCAGCTTCTCTGGGGGTCCCTAGGTGACATTAGGGGTCTTAAAGACCCCCGATGTCTCCATAAAGAGGACCTGTCACTGAAAATTGGCTATCACAAAGGGGGCTTGTTAGTCCCCTATGTGATAGCAATAAAGTTGAGTGAAAAAAAAAGGTTTAAAAGAATTAGTTACAAAAAAAAAATATATAAAAAAATTAAGTCACATATAAAAAGTAATTCAATTTTTTTTTAAAGTCCCCCGCCCCCCACATACACATGCGTCGAGTGCACCTACGTGCAGAAACGAAGATTGCATCCAATACGCCGCACATGTTACATATCGTCGCGAACGTCGCAGTGAGAGCAATAATTTTAGGGCCATCAAGCACTGATAACACTAAACTGATGAGCGGTAAAAGCTTTTAAAGCGTCGCCTATGGCCAATTTTGTGTATGGTAGTTTTTGCGAGTTCACGGGCGCACGCAATTTTAAAGCTTGACATGTTTGGTGTCTATTTACCCGACGTAACCCTGCCTTTTATATTTTACCCCAAAATTTTGGTAATAATAAATGTTTTATAACATAACGTAGTTTTCCCGAAATTTTCGGTACTTTTTTCATTATATAGTAAAAAATAAAAACCGCAGTGGTGATTAAATACCACCAAAAGAAAGCTCTATCTGTCCCCAAAAAATGGTATAAAATTCATTTCAGTACAGCGTCGCATGACGGAATAAATGTCAGTCAAAGTACCGCAGCGCCGAATACTGAAACATGGCCGGGACAGGAAGGGGGTGTAACACCGCGGTCAGCAAGGGGTTAAAGCCACGAATATCCTCTGTGCACCAAGACATGGCCTTGCATGTGTCTCAGCCATACTGGTTGCGGCCCCATAGTGCTGCAGCGACTTCTTGGTGTATAGGGGATATCCTTGGCTTTGTATCTGTAGCACCGCACCATCCGTATTGATCTTCCAACACCCAGTCGGGTAACTCCTTGTAGTGAGCCGACAATGCTGCCTCTATTGCACTGAAATCCCAAACAGTGTTGTCAGCCGTGCTCGAGTCACCCTCTCGTGGATGACAAAACATCTCCCCCCAATCTTCATCTCCATAGCATAGAGATGAGGTGTTTTGTAGTCCTGTAGGGGTGAAGTCATACCGGGCTGACAACGCTGCTTGGGATTTCAATGCAGCAGAGGCAGAGTTGTCAGCTCCTACAGGAAGCTAGGAGCACGCTGGATTTCTGGCGGATTTGCAGGTCTGTTTCTGTACCTGGAGCGTTTCTAAAGAGAGAAAACACCGGGAAAGGTGCAATTTGCAGAGATGCACTTGGTGACGAGGGAGTATGGAGCCGGCTTCTCGGCCAATCAGGATGCTGGGCAGGGTGTAAAGACTCGCTGCTTGGTTTCCTGACTGGCCAGCTTCCCAACCAATCAGGAAGCTGGGCGGCAAGTTATTACCACAACCCCCCCCCCGGTTTCCTGATTGGTTGATTGGTC